GGACGAGCTCGCCGGCACCTCGGTTGAATCCGAAAACAATTCGAGGCTTGACAGGCCCATTGAGGCTTTCGATCACTGGGGCTTCTGGCTTTGGATTCGGGTTTTGGTGGGATTTGGTGGTTTGGGGTGTCATGGTTTGAGGAGCTTTGCTTCTACAGGGCGTGACTGGTCACTTCTTCATGCAATGACAAAGGTCATGTCTTGACGGCAGAGGGAAGCAACCACTACATGCACACGAACTTAAGGTACGGCTCTAGAGTCCCTCGTGCGTCCCAATTAAACGAAATCTCCCGTAATTCTGAACCTCCCGACACCCCCAAACCCTACGAAGCACCCCGAAACCCCAGATATTCCCCAGCCTACAGTATGGGTTTAGGGTTCAGGGTTTAGGGTTTAGGGTTTCTAGGGTTTAGGGTTTATAGGGTTTAGGGTTCAGGGTTAGGTTATATGAATATATAACGCAGGGCCTGAGGCAAATCCTGCGTCTTCATGGGTCACCGGAGTGCTCCGTGTCTAGCTGCGGGTTTAGGGTTTAGGGTTTAGGGTTTAGGGTTCAGGGTTCAGGGTTCAGGGTTTAGCTACTATACGAAAATTTACGTCATGTTTTGAACGTGTTTAAAGGTCAGTTGTCTTTTCTACAAGGCAAAATGCGGCCTCTACTTGGCACCCACAACCCTACACGGGAAACCCCATGAACCCTAAACCTGGGAACCTCTGAACTTGAAACCCTATAAACCCTAAGAAACCCTAGAGACCCTATAAACCCTAAGAAACCCTATAAATCCTGCAAACCCTAAGCCTTGGGACCTCTGAACTTGAAACCTAGTTCCACGCAAAGCTCCACGTGCCCGAAACGCCCACTGCACCGGACAACGGCAGGGCGAAGACCTCATAGCAAAATAGCAAAACCCCGGCAGGCTAGCCTCGCCTAAACCCCAAACCCTCAACCCTAAACCCCAAACCCTAAACCCTAAACCCTAAACTGGCACCACGCTTGCGCGCCCGCGTTGCGGCCAGGTGGCCGCGCTCTGGGCCCTGGCGCAGGCCAAGAAGCAAGCTCCGGAGAGCGGGCCGGAGGGCCAAGGAGTGGGGTTTAGGGTTCAGGGTTTAGGGTTTAGGGTTTAGGGTTTAGGGTTCAGGGTTTAGGGTTTAGGGTTTAGGGTTCAGGGTGGGGTTTAGGGTTTATAGGGTTCAGGGTTTAGGGTTTACAAGAGGCCCCCCCCCTAGTTCGAAGTCGACTTAGAAGGACCTAAATAGGGGTATAAGGATCCTAACTTAGTTTATACGTCCCTTAACTATAGTTAGCACAGTAACGGGGCCTCTCCTTGTAGGGGTTTAGGGCTTAGGCTTCAGGGCTTATGGTTTTTAGTGTATTCTGACCTCTATGACTTTAGACAAACTCCTACCAAAAGTAACCTTGTGCCTGAAAAAAGGTACACTTCCCAATAGTTAAGGTACCTCACCCTTTTTTTTAAGGGAACAAAGGTTACCCGCAAATTCCAAGTGCCCCCCAAGCATGATCGAACGAGTTATAGACTTATAGTTGTGGCGTCCCTATTTTCTAAAACCCCAGCTCTAACTGCCCCTGACAATCTGAGGTTTTGGCTACCCTAAACCCTAAACCCTAAACCCTCAACCCTTGAGAGCACAAAGCAGGTGAGGCCCGTGCGAGATCCGCCATCCTGGTAGGAGCTGCGCAGCGCGGCGCTATTCTAGGTGAAGTTGTGATTTACTTACTTCGCCTTCAGTTGAACTTTAGACGCCTACCCAAATCCCAAATATTTTCAATCACCCCCAAATTTTGAACCCTAAACCCTAAGCCCTGGCAAAACCCTAAACCCGAAAAGCAAGTCCTGTCTGGCCAAGGGAGACTCCTGAGGAGTCTGGGGCTCTGGAGGTGGGAGACAGGGTGTTGGAAATCCCTTCTTGTTGAGGGTTTCGGGTTTAGGGTTCGGGGGTTTTTTTGTTGGGGCTTAGAGTTTAGGGCTTAGGGTTGTTTTTGGGTTTTTTGTTGGGGTTGAGGGTTTATAGGGCGTTTCTTCAGGCAAGTGGCCCAGTCTGGGTTCAAACAGGGTGTTTCTTCATTCCTGGAACAGAGACTGGGCTACAACAAGTGCTGAGCCCTTCTGGGGTTAGTAAAGTTGAGTCGCCGAAGCCCTAAACCCTAAACCCTAAACCCTAAACCCTAAACCCTAAACCCTAAACCCTAAACCCTAAACCCTAAACCCTAAATCGCCGAAGCAAGGGTTGAGGGTTTCTGGGGTTTAGGGTTTGCTCTGCAAGGCCGCTGCGTCAGCGTGCATCACTGAGGCCCAGCGACTGACGCCAGGCCACCGTTTAGGGTTTAGGGTTTAGGGTTTAGGGTTTAGGGTTTAGGGTTTAGGGTTTAGGGTCCCCCCTCCCCCCCGCCCCCCCCTCCCCTGCAATGATTCTTGGTGTTGTCCTTTACCATGCTTTACCCTTTTTTGGTTCAAGGTGCCCTTGGAAAGTAACCAACCCCCCACAAAGCGTTTCCTTATTACAATATGGTTTCTCGGCTACCAAGGATATTTTTTGTTCCAGAACCCGTAGACTCAGTTACTTTCAGCCCAGCCCCCGAGCCATCAAGCCACCAAAAGCCTGAAGGACCATGCACCGAAGAAACGGGCGCCTCCCTAAACGCTAAATAAACCCTAAACCCTAAATCCTAAACCCGGTTTCAAATTGCAACCCTAAAGTCTGCAAAAAAGTCTGTGAAAGGGTGTAGTTGCTGCTATGTTCTTAACAATCCCTCCCCCACCACCCCAAAAGTCGTTGTAAAGGAGAATCTATAGGGATTCTTATCCGTTTGTTTTTTTGGGGGGCCCGGGGTGGTGGTGGGGGGGGGGGGGTGGGGGGGTTCTTATAAGCCAATAGTAGTCAACCCCTGGGTTTTGCAGTACTCTACTTTAATACTTTGTTTGGTTCTGGGTTCCTACTGTAGCTACTCACACCCAAAACATATACACATTTTTTCCAGGGCCTACTCCAAAGGAGGGCGACCCAGCCCTGAACTTAGGGTTCTTAGGGTTTAGGGTTGAGGGTTTAGGGTTCAGGGTTTAGGGTTTAGGGGTACTCTTCGTCCTTTGTTCACAGCCAACCTCAGAACTCCAAGCTTGGGAAGTTCCCCCTTAGACCAACAGTCCCTAATAGGGATGATACTATGGGGGGTACTATCATCCCTATTAAGGGATTATACTATGGGGGGGGGGGGGGTACTATAATCCCTATTAAGGACTTGTTAGTATAAGGGGGAACATAAACCCTATTTAAACCCCATAACCCTAAACCCTCGCCCGATATTCGCTCTTCGGAGATGGTGCTGCAGAAACCCTAAATGGGTTCTTTTCTTGAGTGCCGACGCCAGGGCAGACATGCACCGTGTTGGCCGCCCTGGCTCGGCTGGACGCAGCCCCAGCCGCGAAGAGTTTGGGGTTTGGGGTTTGGGGTTTAGGGTTTAGGGTTTAGGGTTTGGGGTTTAGGGTTTAGGGTTAAGGGTTTAGGGTTAGGGGTCTGCAGGTTCTGGGTAAAGGAGTTGAGGAGGCTGACCTTGTAAGGGATGCGCGGTGTTGGCATGAAGCTGTTTTCAAAAGAGGAGGGTTTAGGGTTTGAAGTTTAGGGTTTGGGATTTAGGGTTTGGGGTTTAGGGTTTAGGGTTAGCTTGTGTGTAGGTACCCTTTCAACTTTCAACGTACTTCATATTCTTCATATCTTACCAGAAAATATGGGGTTTAGGGGTCAGGATCAAACAAATGACCTGTAGTTATGGGCGATGTGCGGCAGCTGTTGGAACCCACCGTCTCAAAACCGTTTTGCCATCGAGCTCAACCATGCACCCCACACGCGGGCAACACCCTAAACCCTAAACCCTAAACCCTAAACCCTAAACCCTAAACCCTAAACCCTAAACCCTAAACCCTAAACCCTAAACCCTAAACCCGAATCTTTGTCCTCACTGCTGGGCCCCAGGTCCCTGACAACAAGAGCTCGGCCACGGACCTCGGAGACAAGATCGGATGGCAGGGTTTAGGGAGTTAGAGTTTAGGGTTTAGGGTTTAGGGTTTAGGGTTTAGGGTTTAGGGTTTAGGGTTTATGGTTTAGGGTTTAGGGTGTGGGGTTTTAGGGTTCAGTGTTTAGGGTGTGGGGTCTTTTAGGGTTTAGGGTGTGGGGGTTTTGGGTTTTAGGTTTTGGGGTGTGGGGGTTCAGGGTTTAGGGTGTGAAGTCGTCTTTGCTTGCCTTTTTGTGTGTATTTACTGAGTACAGTATATAGGAGGAGGAACAGATGTAGATATTCAGATAGACAAGGCTTGGTTTGCCCAGGGGGGACGTCGGGTTGCGTCGCACGTTCACACTAGGCCTCGCAACGTCGACCACGCACCCTCGTTGGCATGCTTTTGCGAGATGAGGACTTGGTAGCCCACTGGTACCCTTTTCCCTTTTTTGGTTCAAGGTTCCCTCATAAAGTAACCAACCCAAAAAAAGGTGCCCTGATTATAATATGGCTACTGGGCTACCAAGATGCCGATGGCGGGATTGAGCAAGCTAACAGTGAGCGAGTACGTTTGCCGTCTGAGTGTGAAACTTCGCTCATGGCATTGCAGTGAGTAGGTGTAAGTGATAATGCTTGGGATGTTCCCCCTTATACTAACAGTCCTTAATAGGGAGTGTAGTACCCCCTACTATAATCCCTACTAAGGACTGTTAGTATAAGGGGGAACATCCCAAGGTAAAGGCATCATTCACACTGGTTGGACCCTAAACCCTAAACCCTAAACCCTAAACCCTAAACCCTAAACCCTAAACCCTAAACCCTAAACCCTAAACCCTAAACCCTAAACCCTAAACCCTCCCCGGCTGCGGGCTCAAGGACGGTCGGTTTGAAAGCCCAGGCAGTGGCCCAGGCTGCGCGGGGCACGGGTGCCGCCTAGGTCCCCAGGCCATGGACAAATCGCAGGCGCTCAGCAAGCAGTAGCTGCCTGAGCATGCTGTTCGCTCGGAGGCTTTTGGCTGGACCTGCTGGGCTTAGTAGCTGAATGAGTACACTTTACACTTTTTGGGGATACCATCCTCCCCCTTTTTTGAACTTAAAGTGTACACTTGTGTGTCTAATTTCTGAACTCAGCAAGTAAGGTGGTGGGCCCGAGATGAAGGCCAGCAGGGCCTCGCCCAAGTGTCCTTGCCGTGCGAGGACGCCTTGGAAGATGCAGTGGAGGAGGGGTGGGGGTTTAGGGTTTAGGGTTTAGGGCCCGAAACCCTAAACCCTAAACCCTAAACCGAGTGTGAGCGATTAAACCCTAAACCCTCAAAAATTACCCCAAAAAAGCCTGGCTCCATGGAGGAGGCCGTCAAGTCTGAAGACTGGGAATGGGACATTGTAGCTTACTTTTTCCAAGAGCTGAACTTTTTTAAACTTCTTGAATTTTGTATTTCCTGATATTTTTTGTGGGAAAATGTAGTTTAACCTTTTTTTTTGTTTGCTCTTGGTTGTTGGAGAAGTAAGGTAGAGGCAGCTGATGATGAAATCCATGCAGATGCTGTGTGGTCGACGTTCCCAGACTCCGACTTTGCCTCGGACCGTGCAGTCAGCCGACCAAGCCCGACTGATTCCAGATGTGTGGATCAAACCCCTGCACCCCCGCCCCTCGAGTTCAAACAAGGCGTTGTAGTACAAGCAGCTCCTTGCAAGACTGTAGTCTACCAGGGTGCAGATGTGGAGTCTCCACTGCAGGTTCAGAGACCGGATGTTGTGGAGCCATCCGAGCCAGAGGAAGAAGTTGCTGTCGTACGAGCAGCCGCTCCTCCCGAAACTGTAGTGCACCAGGCTTCTGATGAGAAGCTTCCACATGTCCGGAGACTGGACATCATGGAACAAGAAGGGGAGATGGGCCCTGCTGGTGGCCCCGAGGATGGGACTGCTGCTGTGGACCCCGTCGGGAGCTTGCGCGAACGCGCGGAGGGCTTGCGGGCACTGGCAGGCCAAGAAGAGCCGCCGAGGGCCAAGATGGCAGCACGCGGCACTCAGAGGCTTTCCCACACGGCCTGGCATGGACTCCATCCCGGCAGCGTGCCGAAAGGCAGTGAAGAAGAGCTGGCCAGCAACTTCGTAGTAGAGTAGAGAACCTTTAACCTTCTTGGGGTAGTATAATCCCTACAAATTCCCAAAGGTTAACAATTTAGTTCCCCTAGGTTACTGGACAACTAAGGTAAGCTTCAGAGGCAGCTGGCCAGGGCAGAACAAGAAGGTTGCGTGCTGCAGTCCGGGCGCCGGCATGCCAACGTGGCAGACGCCCAAGCTGCAACGGCAGATGAGGCGAAGGCAGCAAGGCAGCCGAAGTCCAGCGGGTGTGTTCAGCTCCTCTACGCCTCAAAGCGCCATTCCATCTTCGACTTCCAGGAGCTCGAGGCCGAAGAGCAGATGCTGGCTGACTAGCTTCCGCGATATTTTTGTTCAGATACTTGATATTGATAAAATTGGCTGGCATCCTCCGGTTACTAACACTAACGCTACCATGAAGATGACTGTTATATCGCTGCGATGTGTCATGGTAATCGGCTTCCCTAAATTAGGGCCCTTTTCGGATATTTATATTTGATTTTATTATATTATATATATATATATAAATGTATGCAAATATACGGCTATATTACAGCGGAAAGGAAACCCTAATGCAAGGAACCTCCGCGTATGTATCATTCTTCACAGGTCGGGACTCAGGCCAGCGAAAGTTCTTCCCTATGGGAAGGGCTCCCCCTTACTATATATACTGGGTTTAGGGTTTAGGGTTTAGGGTTTAGGGTTTAGGGTTTAGGGTGAGGGACTGACAACCTAAGTTAGGATCCTTCTGCCCTTATAACTCTACTAGTAACTAGGGGGGGGCCCTCCTTGTATGAGAGCGATGCTCGAGCGGTCTGACGGATTTCATGGCGCAGTGAAGGTTGTGTGTTTAGAGTTCAGGGGGGTTTAGGGTTAAGGGTTTAGTGGTTGGGGTTTAGGGTTTAGGGCACATGGTTGGGGTTTAGGCTTATAGGGCTTGGGTTTTTTTTTCAGGATTTGAAGGGTTTAGGGTTGGTCTGCGGTTTAGGGTTCGGGTATAGGGTTTAGCCTGTTGCACGAAAACTGGGTTGTTGGCTGGTATTTGGAGGTTCATGGGTAGCTGTAGGTATGGTTGGGCTCTCTATAGTATAGCCTTGTTTGGGCATGTCAAACCTCCAAGTAAGTGTAGCCTCTTGCAGGCTGCTTCAACAGGTCTTTCACTCGCGCTGTGGCCGGCAGTGCTTTCTGAGCAGATCTACCAGAGCCTTTGAAAAAGAACAAAATGCATGGCGCCTGGGATCACGGACTCGTACCTTACTGTGCTGGCCAGATCGAGAGAGGGTCCCAAGTACTGTCATCTTGATGGCCTTCAGACCCGCCAATCGGAGTCCCTCTTCCCCTCCCCCCACTTCCCAAACAACAACGAGAAGTATGAAAGCAGCGGGACAACGACATGCATGCCTCATGTCAGAAAGGTCTACTGTTTGGCAAAGAAGGGTGACGGAATGATAGCATCCGGGCATAAGGGGGGGTGGGGGAGGGGGGGGCAGACCGGTAGTGGGCTTGGGTTGGTGCTGGTCGTTACAGTGCTGCTTGTGAGCCCTACAAGGGCGGGCCACCTAGTAAAAGTAGAGTCATAAGGAACCTAAATTGGGTTGTAAGGGTCCGAGCTTAGGATATGAGTCCCTGAGCTCTAGTTTGTATAGTAAGGGGGGCCCCTGAAAATCTCTCAAGGGGGCCTGGCACCAACACCAAGGTCCGGTCGCTGCTGCAGCGGCGCGAACCTGAGCAGTCCATTTCTGCTGACGATTTCTCCATCAGGGAATACCATTCGTAATCATTCCAGCCCCTATATTCCTCCCCCCCCCAACAAAAAACAAGTCATACTCACTGAATACTAGATATCTGGTAGCCGTGCCCTTGTTCCCTTTGTTTTGCTCAAGGTTCCCTGTTAAAAAGTAACCAACCCAAAACAGGGGTACCCGGGTTTAGGGTTTAGGGTTTAGGGTTTAGGGTTTAGGGTTTAGACTATGGTTCCTGGGGCCTTCCGAACATACCCGTTCTCCTTCTCTTTCGAGATAAGTCTCCTTAAGAGCCCGACAGCGGGTCTGTCTTGCTTCCCCAATTGCGCCGAAACCTGGTTCTCGGCGATTGCGTGCAGCACTTCCTGTCACTCGCCGCGACCTCACCCTAGTGTCTTTACTGAGAGAAAATTATGACCCATGGGGCCACAAGAGCCCTAAAATTGTGGTCATACACCCTATACTACTACTATAATTCCTATCAAAATTAAGGTGCTTCTGAACAGAACCCTTAGATCCTTCATCGGGTCCCCAAGGAATGAGAGTCTTCTGACATGCCAGCCGTGCATGGTGCACGCCTCTTCCGTGCACGTAGCCGAGTGTTTGAGTAGTTGTGTTCTCTAACCCTGCAGCCGCAATAACAACAAGGAGCCGACTGTACAAGTAGGGGCCCCTTACTATACTAACCTTAGTTAAGGGAGTTATAACCTACATAGTAATACTTCTAACCCAAATTAGGGCCCTTATAACCCTATTTATATCTAGGGGGCCTCTACATGTAGCAATGACGCAGTCGGAGAAACCCTAAACCCTAAACCCTAAACCCTAAACCCAGTGTCAGCTAGGCGGGTGGCAAACAAAAAGCCCTAAACCCTAAACCCGAATGACGTAGCCGGAGAACAGACTATGGGCGCAAGGCTGCAGCAAGGCCAGCAAATGCAGCCCGCAGCTCTGATCGAGGTTGCCGGGTAGAAAGTTCACCAACAGGACTTAAATTTGGGGCTTTGTGACCGGAGCTCTTGGGGAGTTTAGCGTTTAGGGTTTAGGGTTTAGGGGAGGAGGTCTTTGGGTGCTGGGAGGTTCTGGGGCTCAGGCAAGAAATCTCATGAGGGAGCTTCCCCAAAATATTGATTGACACTGTCGCCACCCTTTCCGGTTTAGGGTTGATAGGGTTTACCCTACAGTACTTGCTTTGCAAATAGTTGAACTTTAAACCTTTTTGGATGTCCTTAGCCGCCCTAAGGGTCCATGTACCTAGTTATTCCAGACTTGGGCCAAAAAGTCCCTATATGGCAAGTACTTTGAGGCCCAAGTATTCCCTATTTAGGTACATGGACCCTTAGGGTACCCTAAGCCCTAAACCCTAAACCCTAAACCCTTGAAACCCGCATCGAATTCTCGTAAGGAACTCAGGGGGTGGAAGAGAGGGGGTTGAAGGGCTCCCCTTCCACTCTTAACCCTGCAGGTGCTATGCTCCGTGATGCTTCTGGAGGTTTGGGACGATCAGCTCTTGCAGACAGCAGGCCGGATTCCACCGGACCCCCCCTGTGTCTGCACGTTTCCTACCTAGCGCTCTCAGCTGAGTTCTGTCTTGAATCGTTTTTTCTCACTTCAAATGCACTAGCCACAAAATACGGTTTCCAATAACAGAACAGCAATTCAGGGTCCCTTCAAACCCCACACCCGACACAACCTGACCTCGCCACCTGGTTCACTGTTACTTACTTCGCCTTCAGTTGAACTTTAAACTTTGTGGGTTTCCTTATTTAGTAGGCATATTATAATTTAACTTTTTCCCCGTGGTTATTGGAGCAGTAAGGTTATGATCCTGATTTCAATTGCGGTTAGTGGCACTGCTCGCAGCAAAATTTCTGAACAAAACCACATACAATTCAGAAAGATATAGATATACATATAAAGATGTATGTCATGTGTGTGTAATGTATGTAATGTAATGTAACGTAACGTAACGTAATGTAATGTAATGTGTATGTGTGTATGTATGTATGTACGTACGTACGTAGGTAGGTAGGTAGGTAGGTATGTATGTATGTATGTATATATGTGTGTATATGTGTATGTCTGTATGTGTATGTGTGTATGTGTGTATGTGTGTATGTGTGTATGTGTGTATGTGTGTATGTGTGTATGTGTGTATGTGTGTATGTGTGTATGTGTGTATGTATGTATGTATGTATGTATGTATGTATGTATGTATGTATGTATGTATGTATGTATGTATGTATGTATGTGTGTGTGTGTGTATGTGTGTGTATGTACGTGTACGTGTACGTGTGCGTGTATGTGTATGTGTATGTGTATGTGTATGTATGTATGTATGTATCTATGTATCTATGTATCCATGTATCTATGTATCTATGTATTTATCTATCTATGTATCTATGTATCTATGTATCTATGCATGTATTTCCAGCCCCAAAATGCCAAGCCACTGGCCATTGAACATGGAGCCGGTTTAGTATGGTCGCCTACCCTTGCTTATTGGGATCCGATGTATAGGCCCTTACTATATGGTTTAGGGGTTAGGGTTTAGGATTTAGCGTTTAGGGTACATCAGAAGTATATACAACAAGGGACCCAAATGAATGGCCCATACTTGGAGATCAAACCCGAAAGCACTGACGCGGTGAGGTCATACCTTCGTGACAGGTCCCAATGCAGGCAGGCTGCAACTGGGCAGGGGGTCCATGAAGCCAATGAAAGGCTCTTTAAGAACGAAGAAAGATGATAAACCTACGTTTTCCACAGAAGCTAAACCCAAAACCACAAACCCTAAACGCCAAACCCTAAACCCTAAACCCTACAAACAGATGGTCAAGCACCCTTGTGGTAAGCAGGTTCCCTAGGCATCCCTGGGATGGAGGGTCAATAGACTTTTGGGGGTTGGTTGAGGGTTTAGGGTTTAGGGTTTAGGGTTTAGGGTTCGAAGGTCTCATTGTGCCTAAACACTACGCCACCACGCACCCTGAAGCCGCACGCCCCCAACCACAAACCCAAAACCTGTCTGGCTTCTCTGCTGGGTGAGCAGGAAGAAACCCCAGGCCAAAAAAGACGCGAACCCCTAAACCCGAAACCCTAAACCCTAAACCCTAAACCGCGGTGCCCTGCCCTTCATCCTGGTGTCTCTGCCAGCCTCGCCAGTGCCAGATGTGAAATCCTGAACACTTAACCCCCTACTAGGGTTTAGGGTTTAGGGTTTAGGGTTTAGGGATATCGGCTGGGGTTTGGGGTTTAAACTTTCTAGCAATGTTTGGGGGGAGGGCGGTGGGTTGAAGCCGAGTTGGAGCACTGTTTTTGTTTCCCAGGGGCGCGCCTGCAGCACCTCACCACAGGGCAGGCCTTCCAAACCCTGCCCCCCCTCCCCCCCTTGCGTTAAGGGCTGAGGGCTTAAAAGCCCTCAACTCCCCAAAACTCCCCAAACTCTAGAGCCCTAACCCTACTACCCTTCTTGTATATTGTATCTGGGCTTTTTCCAAGTTAGGGCACCCCTTCTATACCACAAATATCATATGCAGCAGGGTATATATTTCTATTTTTGGTGAGTGTATATACCGGGTGTCCTTTTGGGGATACAAGAAATATAAACCCTACTTCATATAGCCCCTCTCAAAAGGGACGCCCAAATTGGGTTCCCTAATTTTCGGGGGCCTTCCATATGTCGTGAGAGTCAAAGCCGAGATGATACTCTAAGAGACTTCCATCCCGTGCGAGCACTTCAGGCAGGAACAGCCATGCCCGAGATTCAGGGCTTATGGTTTAGGGTTTAAGGTTTAGGGTTTAGGGTTTTGAGGCTTAGGGTTTAGGGTATTTCGGGTCATCACTTGACAGAGCCCTGGTGCAAAAAGGTCTGCGCCTGGCGAAATGTAGACTTTGTTGCTCTCTTTTGGGGAGGAGGTGGTTGGGGCTTGCCCCCCTAGTGTTGCCCTAAACCCTTTTTGTGATGGTGATCCCAGTGTCCTTGTCTGGAGGTGCGGTACTTGAAGATGATGTTCCCCATTATTCTTGACTTATGGGGTCGGCTTCATTACCCAGAACACACCCCAAACCCTAAACCCTAAACCCCGTCCCAAGTTCTTTTGAGAAGGTCGCCCGCTTAGCTAGTTCTTTTGAGAAGGTCGCCCGCTTGGCTCTGGCGGCCGGGCGTTTTGCCCGTGCCCAAGATCTCGCATCGCAGGGCACACGAACGCGCAGCACCAGATCAAAGAATGCCCTATAAAGCCTGCACCCTAAACCCGAAAGTGATCCATAAACACTGAACCCTGAACCCTAAACCCTAAACCCCACATGCATCCCATGTTAAGTCCAAAGGGGCAGCGCCGCCTCGCCTCGGCCGCGCTGGCCGAGGCGGCACGCCGCACTCCAGGAGGACGGGCGTGAGCACCCTGTGCGGTTTAGGGTTTAGGGTTTAGGGTTCAGGGTTCAGGGTTCAGGGTTTAGGGTTCAGTGTTCAGGGTTCCTCCTGAATCAACCTCGCAGGCAGGCTGCCAAGGGAGCCCTGAAGCAAAAAGCGCTCCTGGTAGCCCAGTGGTACCCTTTGCCATTTTTTTGGTTCGAGGTTCCTTTTATGGTTTGGGGTTTAGGGTTTAGGGTTTTGAAGTAGCCAGCCTCAATGAGGTACCCTTATTACTGGCCTTCCAAGGAATAAGACTTTGGGTTCGAAGCACTCTTACCCTTAGCCCTAAAGCCTAAACCCTAAACAAGATTTTGGGTCCTAAGGACTCTTAGTAATCCTGGACTCAAAAAGGGTTTACGCTTTAGGGTTTAAGCTCGCCTTCGGTCCGGAATCGAAACGCTCAGGGCTTGGGACTTCGCATCGCGCCCTCAGCCTCCAAGCCACGTTTCGGGGGTTGCTTAGGGGACTAGAGTTTATAAGGGAATCGCAGAGGTTGAAGGGGGCCCTAAATCAACTAACCCGAAACCCCAAACCCAAAACCCAAAACCCCAAACCCTAAACCCTAAACCTAAACCCCAAACCCTAAACCCTAAACCCTAAACCCCAAACCCTAAACCCGTATAAGGCCCTCTCAGGAAGCGGATGCCAGCTGCATCCGTTTGAGCTGGCGCACCTCTCCTTTGCCGCATGGGCCCCAGACCTTATATGGGATGGTGGTCTCTTTAAGTAGGGTTTAGGGTTTAGGGTTTAGGGTTTAGGGTTTAGGGCTAGGGTTTCGGGTTTAGGGTTTAGGGTTATGAGGGTATATAGGGGATATATTACGGTATAAGGGCAACAGATAAAGAGGCCACCGACCTTTATCACCTAGACCCATCGGGCAGGGGGCTGCGAGAGGCCCATGCGAAGAAGGGGCTTTAGGGTTAAGGTTTTAGGGTTTAGGGTTTAGAAATTGTTGGGTATACGGTTCTGAGTATACAGTTGACGAAGGGCTTGGCGGCTTTGGGCCTTTTGCAACAAGGGTTTCGGGGTCATACACCACACTGGCTCAACCAATTCTGGTTGAATGGGCCACTATCTCGAGCATTGTACTAAAGTGATGATCAAACGAGAACCATGCAATGTAAAGCTTGAGAGATATAATCCTTTTTCCTGATGAATGATTCAGAGCCTGCCGGGTGGCTTGAAGCCGGTTGCAGAAGGAGTTGTGGGAGCACGTTTTCGCAAAAAGGCTTCAACCAAACCCTAAACCCTAAACCCTAAACCTTAGACATGGACCCCTCTGGTTTTCGGGTGTAGGGTTTGGGGGGGTCAGCGTTAGGGTCTGAGTAGAGTGCGTACACTTCACACTTCTAGAGATACTCTAATCCCCTATAGAACTGAAAGTGTGCACTATTTTGGGGGGCATATAAACTCAGCAACTAAGGGGTTTAGGGTTTAGGGTTTAGGGCAGTTGTATCAGCCCTGCCGTGTGGAATCAGAACAAACTCTGCTTGGCGCGTGCATTGCCTCGAGGCCGCCCTCGCCAGCTTGGTGGAGAGGCTATGGATCCTGAATTTCTGGGGTCTTTAAGGGAAGGTTTAGGGTTTAGGGTTTAGGGTTCAGGGTTCAGGGTTTAGGGTTTAGGGTTTAGGGTTTAGTGGTTCATGAGTGGGGGTCGTGTCTTTTCCTGGCAGTTGTTCGCAGTCTAGTTGCAAAAAGGTGTTCGGGGGAGGGGGCGGTACCTAAGGAACCTTAAAGAAGCTTAGGGAGCCTTAGGGGATAGCCAAAGCCTACACATCTTTGTGGATTCTTAAGCAGACATAGGGCTCCTGAGGTTGCCACCCTAAACCCTAAACCCTAAACCCTAAACCCTAAACCCTAAACCCTAAACCCTAAACCCTAAACCCTAAACCCTAAACCCTAAACCCTAGCCCCCAACCCTTCGGGATGTACAGGGTTGTTGGGTTTCGGATCGACGCTTTGTACTTCGTACCTGCGATTGCTTCACAACACACAAGCTGGGAGAGTGGCTGTGCTGCTCTATGGAGTCGAACAACTTGGTTGCCCAGTGGTACCCTTTTCCCTTTTTGTTGGTTCAAGGTTCCCTTATAAAGTAACCATCCCCCAAAAAGGTGCCCTTATAATATGATGGTTACTGGGCTACCAAGACAAAAACTCTGGGTTTGGAAGTGCTGCTCTTTCAGAACTCTTCATGGACTCTTCAGGTCAACTTAAAGAGCAGCATCGGGTTTGGGTTTCGGGTCTAGGGTGTGTTTTGGGGTGTTCGGGTCTGCGGCTGTTACAGCCCCAGGTCGCATTTTTGCTCAAGGCGCGTGCCTGTGACCTCCAAACCTCTCGTACTCCTTAAGTCCCAGCCACTTGGCCTGCGAATGGGTTTAGGCTCTGGGTTTCGGGTTTTTGGAGGTTCATGGGTACCTCGCTCTAAGTTGGATTCGAACCACGAAGACGGTTCGGAAAGGAGGAGAGCGACAGTTACCCCAACTTCCCACTTGCAGCCCGAGTTATGTGCAATCACCCATGAACCTTAGCACAACTACTGGGCTGGTCTCATTGACACGAGACATGGGTTCTCCATTTAATGATACCTCCCTCAGAAACCATAGGTCACCACAACCCGCAGCCGCGGGACCCAAAATAGGTACCCCGAGTTCCGGGATTCCGAGCGACTAAACCCAAAACCCAAGACCCTAAACCCTAAACCCTAAACCCTAAACCCTAAACCCTAAACCCTAAACCCTAAACCCTAAACCCTAAACCCTAAACCCTAAACCCTAAACCCTTCCCCATATTTTCCGTAGGCGCAAGGAGAACCCTGGCTCAGGCCCAACGCTCCACATTGCCCCCCTCAACCTGCTTTTGTTTCTATTTTGTTGTTTTCCTCTCTCTCTCTCTCTGTTTTTGTCGCCCCTAAACCCTAAAACCCTAAACCCTAAACCCCAAAAAACCCTAAACCCTAAACCCTAAACCCTAAACCCTAAACCCGCCTCACCCCCTAAACCCTAAAAAAAACAAGAAAGGACCGGGGCCTCGCCTCCTAAACCATAAGCCCTAAACACTAAACCCTAAACCCCCCTGGGGATTTGGGATTTGGGTTTAGGGTTTAGGGTTTAGGGTTTAGGGTTTAGGGTTTAGGGGGGGGAGGCCATGAAGACTGGTGGGCTCCGTCGGACTCCGGCGCTGCTTCCGGGGGCCTTGGCCCTGGCTCTATGCCTCGCGAGCGTGCGCTTGGCTGGACAGGCGGAGCTCTTTGGGGTTTAGGGTTTAGGGTTTGGGGTTTAGGGTTTAAGGTTTAGTCCTGGCATGAAGCAGCTTCCAGGTTCAAAAAAGGTTTAGGGTTTTTCGGGCTTTGGGGCCTTAAGGGACCAAGGCGCCTACTTAGGGAGGGTCGGGGGGAGAATTCGTATGTTCTCTGTCAAAGTGGGCTTGCACCATCTTTACATACATATACATATATATATATATATAAGTACGTATAGAATACTCAAAGGGGGCCCTCATTTGTGTTGTCCTACTAAGTAGTGCCTCCCCCACGACCGTTCAAGAAGGAAACCTGCAGCCAAAAAAAGATGGGTTTAGGGTTTAGGGTTTAGGGTTTAGGGTTTAGGGTTTAGGGTTTAGGGTTTAGGGAGGTTGGAGGGTCCTTGCAACTCTACTTATTTCTAGGGCCCCCTTGTATAGGGAAAAGGCACCCCCCCAAACCCTAAACCCTAACTCTAAAACCCTCAACCCTCAACCCTAAACCCTAAACCCTAAACCCAACAAGTCAAGAGGTCCGCCTTCCCACTCCGCTGTGCCTACAGGTAATGGGCTTCGTGCCCTCGGCACCCTCCACGTCTCTCCGCACCAGAGCCGCGCCGCGCGTGGCCTTGGCTGCCTCCATGCGAGACAGTGAAGGCGCCGGCCTAAAACACATAACCCCTCGGCGCAGCCATGAACCGTAAGCTCTGAACTATTCCTTAAGTTGCAGCTGCTGTATAAGAAGTATTCCTATAGACCCTAAACTCTCGAGCCGAAGGAGTCCTTGAGAGATATAGAAGTTTCTCCCGAATCCTCGGTAGTCGCGTGCAGTAGGGTTTCTATTGCTATTGCTTGTACCCCCGAATGGACACCAATTACATACACTTGATACAGGAGCCCTAGATACACTCACAAATAGCAGTGAATCCCTCCCTCAACCCTCAACCCACAACCCACAACCCACAACCCTCAACCCTCAACCCTCAACCCTCAACCCTAGACTGTTTCATGTCCTCACTGTTGCCTTAGAGGTCCCGAGTTCAAAGGTCCCCGGAGGCCCATGGTTTGGTTGGATTCCTGGAGGGTTTTGTGGCAGGGTTTATAAGGTTTAGGGTGCAGGGCGCAGTGCAGGGGGCTTAGGGTTTAGGGCTTAGGGCTTTGAAGAATTTAAGAACTAGAATTTGCAGTCGCTTCTTCCAGGCACATCTGGGGGTTTATGGTCTTAGGGGTACGTTATTGGGGTGCTTTTTATAAGGGAATCCTACTATTTGGGGGTCTACTATAAGGGTCCCTGATTTGCGTAATCCCCCCACATATTCTGCAATGGTCAGCGCCAGGCAACAAAGTGCGAGAGCCAAAGACCTTCGACGCATCCGATGTCTCCAGCGTGGCAGGCACAGTGACTGTGGAGCTCCTTGGCCCGTGATCTTATCTAGGTACCACCTGGCTCCCTCACCAGCAGCCTCAAGCCGCAGAGTTGGCATTTGTGTTATAGGGTCTACACACGCATGCATAGGGGTACCCTTTATGGGGTTAAGACGGATCATATAGTATTTAGGGTACCCCTTTCTTTCTCGGAATCCTCGTATGCACATATATATATATATACACATGTATACAGATATGTGTGCATTAAACATATGCACACACAGATGTTGTAGAGAGGCTACAGTCCCTATAAACCCTGTAAGCCCTTTCAACCCTATAAGCCCTATAAACCCTAGGCCCAGATGCCCTAATCCCTAGTCCCTAAACCCTAAACCCTACAAGCCCTGAATTTCTGGATGCCCTACACCCCGTGGCCTGCTAGCAGAGAGCGAGTGCCAAAACCGAGGTACAAGAAGAGGCCCTTCGGCGTGCTCTCCTACGCACCTTCCACCAGCGGCAAGGGAGCGATGGTCTGGAACATGAACGAGAACTCCCGGTGCCGACACAAAGAGGGCTTAGTGTTTAAGGTTTAGGCTTTAGGGGTCTGTCTGTCTATCTGTCTCTGTTTTGAGATTGCAAGCCCCTGCGGTGCGATAAGGGCCCTAATTTGGGTAATAAGTATTACTATGTAGGTTATGACGCCCTTCACTAAGGCTAGTATAGTAAGCGGGCCCCTACTTGTACGATCGTTTACAATAGTTGACCGCCAACCTCCCCCCCCATCGCCCATGTCGATGATTACCGGGACAGAATCCAAATACTTGTGGAAGCATTATCATGACCTCTCTCTTCCCATTATCTCGTGTTTGTTCTTGTTTGGTTGTGTGATTTGGCCTGAGTACTAACCCGAAAAACAAACCTAAAACCTAAACCCTAAACCCTAAACCCTAAACCCTAAACCCTAAACCCTAAACCCTAAACCCTAAACCCTAAACCCTAAACCCTAAACCCTTACTTAAGGTTTCGCTTCGGATGGGGCCCTGGAAGGTACCCTGGAGACCCCCAGGGCCAAGCCTGGACGGGCGGCGTGAAGCAGTACATGGCGGTGACCTGGGCTATGCGGGATGGAGTTTAGGGGGGTCTAGGTCTAGGGTTTAGGGTTTTGAGTTCTGAAGTTGGCCTTGGTTCAAAAGGGTTTGAAGTTCTTCTGAAGTTGACCCTAAGCCTTAATCCCTTTCATCGTTCATTTGGTCCCCCTTAGTTTTCTTGGCACTCCAAAGCAGGAGTTGGACTTCAGGGCCTAAGAAGGTTCAGGGTTTAGGGTACTCATAACCCAATCATAAGTGTAGTTATGCCCCACTTATAAGCCCCTTAAGTACGCCAATAGGGTTATAGTTGGGTTCTAAGTGCAGTTATACTTGGGCAAAGCCTAAACCCTAAACCCTAAACCCTAAGTACCATGAACCTGCACTCTGCTCTTTGCAAAGGTGAAGTCCATCGCCGGCCAGGACGTGAGCACTTGGGACTTCTGGGACATTCTCGACCCTTCCGCCGCAAGAAGGGGCTCAGGGTTTAGGGTTAGGGTTTAGGGTTTAGGGTTTAGGGTTTAGGGTTTAGGGTTTAGGGTTTAGGGTTTAGGGTTTAGGGTTTAGGGTTTAGGGTTTAGGGTTTAGGGTTTAGGGTTTAGGGTTTAGGGTTTAGGGTTTAGGGTTTAGCGCTAGCAGCTCTCAGATGTTCAGGGTTCAGGGTTTTTTCAAGGTTTGCCGGAACCTCGGCAGTCTTGGCTTAAACCGGGGTGCCAGATGCACGTGAAACATTGCCGCGCGATACGACTCTTTACAAGGAGCTGCAGATCCTAAATCGAGAACTGACTCCTGTCCGGAAGGGTCCAGTTGTAGCACTCTGATGCAAGTAAAGGTACCTCCGAAATCATGCCAAGTAGGACATGTCCATAAACCCTAAACCCTAAACCCGAAGCCTTAAACCAGCCTAAACTATCATTATTCGTACTTTGGTAAACCACAATCTGCTATTTCAACGCGAGATAAAGACTTTGGCACCCTAGGGGAGGCTGCTCAATAACTGCACTCCTTACACCAAACACCAAGCTCTCAAACAAGCAAACCCTGATTAAAACCCTTAACCCTAAACCCTAAGCCCTAAACCCTAAAACCTTAACCCTAAACCCTAAACCCTAAACCCTAAACCCTGAACAACACTCAAACTAGGATCTGCTGGACGACAAGATCCTCGACAACTCGGCAGGCACCGGGGCTGTGGGGGGGAGGGGAGAGGGGGTGTGGGACCAGTGTAGGACTCACGAAGGGTTCAGGGACACGTTAGGGTCTAGGGTTTTCGGTTGAGGGTTTTTGGGTGTCTATATCCCCCTTGTTTTTTTGTTTATGTAAAACCCAAGAGTATGTTGCACATATTTTTGGTTTATTAAGGTTCTAAGGGGAGTAATTATAGGTTTCTGGGTTTTGGAGTAGTATACTTTAATACTTTTTTTGGTTCTGGGTTCCTATTATAGCTACTTGTACCTAAAAAGTGTATACTTTTTTTCAGGGTCTACTCCAAAGCTAAGGTTTAGGGTGTAGCGTTCATTTCTTCGAATGAACCCTGGTCGCTCAAGACATCTGTATTGGAGCCTCATGAACCCGAAGCCCTCCTCTTGGCAGCCCAGTGGTCCCCTTTACCCTTTTTTTGTGTGGTTACGCGTTCGGTTTAGGGTTTAGGGTTTAGGGTTTAGGGTTTAGGGTTTAGGGTTTAGGGTTTAGGGTTTAGGGTTTAGGGTAGAGCGCGCGGGGTCAAAAAGGGTTTAGGGTATACAACCCAACAATGGGTGCCCTTCTCACAATAGGGTTACTGGGCTACTAAGTACTTTTGGATGGGTCGGATGGGACCTGAAGCCTCCGGTTGCGCTGACAGCTTTGTTCTCTTGCCTTGCTATCCACTTCCAGGCCAGGCCAGTCTGGGGGGGGGGGGGGGGGGGGGGGGGGGGGTTTAGGGTTTAGGGTTTAAAGGTTTAGGGCACTGGTGCTTTTCGGGTAACCACCGCCTCCTGGGCACACTTTGCATTTCGCTCAGATGTAGGGCCGGGTGAATGTCTGAAGCTCCCCCCCCCCCCCCCCCCCCCGCCTGTTTTGTTACCCTGTTGAAGCAGGCAGCTGCAACCTCAGTCCGCTAGGCAGATTGCAAAAGGACACCTCCCTAAAACCCGAAAGCCTAAACCCTAAACCCTAAACCCTAAACCCTAAACCTCTCTTAACCTCCCTTAACCTCCCTTAACCTCCCTTAACCCTCAACCCGTTTCCACGAAGGCATCTTCCAGTCCAGCGGAAGTGGCTCTATGGGCAACAAGCCTGCCGAGCTTCCCCTTGCCGTAGAGCGCCTTGTACAGGTTGAGTCGCGGTTTAGGGTTTACAGTTTGGGATGTTTCCCCTTATACTATCAGTCCCTAAGAAGGGGTCCTTCTCAGGCATTTGAAAGGTGTAGGCGGTTTGGGTTTAGAGTGCAGTGTTCTCTGCTTAAGTTGAGGGAGGAACGACGGCTTGGATTGGCCGGGTAGAGTCCGGATAGCCAGGGTCTGGAGGCCTTTGCAGAGCCCGTAGGAATGTTTTGCTGCGCATGGAGACGAGTCCAGAAGCAAACGCGTTTGGAGGGCTTAGGCTTGAGGGGGTTTAGGTATTAGGTTTTAGGCAATGCGGCCCCACTTACGACTGTACTCTACTGGAGTGAAGGGACCAATAATCATCGAAGTTGTACTACCTATAACTTAACTCAATTTTGGGCCCTTGTAACTATATCTCGTGGGCCTGCGCTTGTAGCGTGTGTCGGTATCCGGCTTTTGGTGGAGGGATTGGACAGCAGCAGAGGCTTCGACAACCGACCCATGCAAGCTGGCAACTGCAAGCTTAACCGAAGGCAAGCGAAGGCCCTACGCTGAAGCCTATAACACATAGCCCCCCAAGCACACGCGATCTAGTAGGATACAGCCTATCGGGCCCGCAATCCTACACCCCAAACCCTGAACCCTGAACCCTAAACCCTAAACCCTAAACCACCCCAAGAATTACAATGGATAGGGTCCTTGTCTGAGAGGTACGTGGAGTTCAGCTCCATGGGTGGTGCACCCGCGGCCCCAGCGGCTGGAAGTGGCGAGCTTTGGGCAGAATACCCGGGGGGGGGGGGGGGGGGTGCGAGGAGGGAGGGCAGGGTTAGGGTTCAGGGTTTAGGATTTAGGGTTTAGGGTTCAGGGTGTCCTTTAATGCGTGGATCCTGCACATCTTATCGTATGTTGGGGGTCGGTTAGTTGAGGATTTCGGTGGCGTTCCCTCGTACAGGAACCCAACCCCGCCCTGATTGTGATATGGTGGCTGCTACAAGAAGGGGGCCCCTCCCCTCTAGTTAGAAGTAGAGTTACAAGGACACTCCGTTGAGGCATAAGAATCTTAACTTAGCTTGTAGGTCCTCAGAAAGGGCTCCTTGGTACCTTGTGTTGCTGAGAGGACCAAGGAAGATGTGTTTGGGGTTTAGGGTTTAGCCACGAGGGGTGTCAGGAGTCAAGCCAAGCGAGGGCATGTGAGGTGCGTAAATGCACCAAGTTCCTCCGGACCATTCAGTGTACAAGCCTGATGGGGTGGAGCTTGCCTTCCACAAAAGCATCAAGTTTTGTGGAACGCACACTCGTTTGCGCATGTTGACTTGGGTACGAGGAGCAGTTCGTCGACACCCGGGATGAGAGGTTCAAGGACTTGCCAAAGGATGCCACGATCAAGGTCTCAGCCTCAGCAAGGGTTGCCCAAAACCCGAAACCCTAAACCCTATAAACTATAAACCCAAACTTCTGCATGTTGAGTCGTAGGTATAACCCATAAAACCGTAGGTAAAGAGTGGAGAGCTTCAGTCGGGGCAGAACTGCACATTGTCGTGCGGTCTCAAGAAGTCTTTCACCTCATCCACTGCACTGTCGTCCTGAGTGTAAGCCGAAGCACGCTCGGATGCCGTGGTGTCCTATTCGCCTGGGGCAGTTTCTATTTTTCTTGCGCAGGGATGCTCAGCTGAAACCCTAAACCCTAAACCCTAAACCCACCTTAGTTCCGAACAGCCAGCGGAGCTTGAAGAGCTCCTCCAGGAGTACAAGATCCCCGTGGCGCCCCCCACGTACACCAGCAGCGCAGTGGAGGGATTGCGCCTCATCCGCAGAGACTTACTGTTGGGTTAGGGTTTAGGGTTTAGGGTGTAGGGTGTAGGGTTTAGGGTTCAGGGTTTAGGGTTTAGGGTTTAGGGTTTTGACATTGAGCGAGCCTTCAAGATTGATGTGAAAGCCTGCACTGGCTACAGTGTGTGTGTGTGTGCTTGCTTTTCCTGTACTCATCGACTCTTCTAAGAAGGGCTTCGGCATCCTGGCAGCAAGGAGTCCAGTTGCAAAAAGGGTTTAGGGTTTAGTGTTTAGGGTAACCCTAAGAATCTCACTGTTGGTTAGCAGGGAATGAGGGAATTGAGGCCCTATATATACCCTTTGAGGGGTTAGGGTTTAGGGTTTATGGATTACGTAGGGCAGCCTTTGTGCCCTTAACAGGGAGATCAACCTTAACTATTGAAATTTACCCTCTGTTTAAGATGCAAGGCCCATGGCTCATAATTACTTCAGAACCCGTCAGAACCCTGTACATACAGGATGTAAGGGGCCATATATTCTGGGCCCAAATGAGTACATCTAAACTATCTAAACCTTAAGCCTTAAACCCTAAACCCTAAACCCTAACCCTAAACCCTAAACCCTAAACCCTAAACCCTAAACTCTAAACCCTAACCCATAGAGCAGGCAGGCTTTAGCCGAGGCGGGGTGTGGTGGCCGCTATGCCCGAGCCGGTTGGCCACACGGGACCACGCTACCAAGGCCGTAGATTCCAGGGACTGACAGGTTCAGGGGTGTAGGGTTTAGGGTTTAGGGTTTAGGGTTTAGGGTTTAGGGGTGATCGGGCTTCAGCTCCCCGAGTCAAAAGGGTTTAGGGTTTAGGGTTCAGGGGGCTTCGGGTTGTGAAATTTGGGAGCTTGCAGCGTGTTGCTTCCCAGCTGATGGACACTCTGTGTCTAGAAGAAGGGGTTAGGACCTTGGCAGTCCCTCCTTGGAAAAAGGCTTTAGGGTTTAGGGTTTCGGGGGGTCCATTGGGTTTTGAGTAGGGTGCTTTCTGTGATCTTGTAGCGTGTATGATGTTGATTCTCTGGAGCGTGTGGTGTTTCGCCTGCATGCGACGCACACCCTGAAACTTGCTATGGCGGCAGTTCAAGCGTCCGCTTCATGTGGGGTTTATAGGGTTTAGGGTTTAGGGTTTATAGGGTTTAGGGTTTAGGGTTTAGGGTTTATAGGGTTTGGGGTTTAGGGTTTTTAGGCTCATCACAAGGTGACACAGGCAACGGTGGAGCATAGCCGCAAAGCCTGAAGCATGCGCAACCTGCTCGTGCTGCCAGCGCTTCGTATAACAGGCTCCAACCCGCAGCTCCCCCCCCCAGATAACAAAAGACCTAAAACCCTAAACCCTAAACCCTAAACCCTAATTTGAGCGCGAAGAAGCATCATGCCCCCTGCCCCCTGCGGTTGAGGTGGCACTCTGCCAAGAAAAGACAAAGCATGCGGCACTCTGCCAAGGAAAGACAAACCCTAAACCCTAACCGGCCCTAACCAAGGGAAAATGAGCACACGGCGACCATGATGAAGCAAGGGCTACTAGGACACAGAGTAGGCCCTTATTTCCTTTCCTTGGGGTTGGGTAGGGCTGGGGTTCCCTTATAATCCCCTTAAAACCAAAAAAGGTGCCCCCTTTGTATTCCTAGGTTACTCCTGGGTCCAGGCTAAGGACTGCTAAGCACTAGAGCGTGTTGGAATGGCCTGTGACTGAGTACTTACCGGGCTGAAGCGCTCCCACTTGGAAGCCCTTTTGACTTTGTGAATAGGGTGAATAAGGTGGGTTATGGGGGTTAGAATCGGGGTTCTAGAGGGTACTAAGTGGACTTACTAAGCGAAAAGAGCTTCTCAGCACGACAGGCAAGGCATCGCTGAATGAAGCTAGCATTCGGCAGATGCTGTCCCAGTTCAAGAGGCCTGGCTGCACTACTTTCCAGAGGAGGCCAGGCTGGGCCAACCCATCCCGGAACCCGACAAGGAGGGGGCCCCCTCCCTTTTCTAAGTACAGTGACGGGGACTTAGTACTTGCCCAAGATAGGATCCTTAGGATCCTTATAACCCAATTGAGGGTCCTGCTAAATTCTACACTTATCTAGGGGGTGCCCTCCTTCCCTCGTAGAGCCCATCAGTCCCGATGGTGTAAGGAACGGCCAGATTCTGCCGATGAAGGATGCGTACCAGCTGGCCATTGAGCCTCGGCGGGGGGGGGGGGGGGGCTGGAGGTCAACGCCACCTGAGATCCACCTTACGAACCCCAAACCTGCTTTTTCTGGGTTCCTAAATCTCAAAACCCCTTGCAGGATTCTTAGGTAACCTACAAAAAAAGGTACTTAAGGCAGTATCTACGAATGTATAGAAGACTTGCTATACTCACACCCAAGGAGAGGGGCCCCCTTCGTTATAAGTAGAGTTATAAAGGACCCTAACTTGGGCAGTAGGGATCCTATCTTGGGATCCCTGAAGCGCGACGTGAATTTGGAAGTCGTTTTCCAACCCCTAAACCCTAAACCCTAAACCCTAAACCCTAAACCCTAAACCCTAGTGAATTTGGAAGTCGTTTTCCAACCTGGGATGGAGGGTGGCTGCTGCCTTACTTTGCATGCAACGCACATGGGCAGTGTGATGCGCTGGCAAATTCGGGACCAGGTTGGACCGTTGTCTGCATGCTTTTAGTGTAAATCCAGCACTCAACTACGATAGGACCCCCCCCCCCCCCCCCAAAAAAAAAAAAAAAAAAATCCATAATAATAATAACAATAGTAATAATCATTCTGAAATACTCTTCCTGACAAGGGCAATATGGGGATTGTACTTCTTCGTTATTGGGGTGTTTCGTAAGCCATGCTTAAAGCACTCAATGCTCCATCTTGGGCTGGCCAGGGCAGGATGTCGATCCTAGACCCCCCATCAACCGCATAAACCCCTTAGGGTTTATAGGG